ACATTCCACTATGCAACCTTAATTGTGGACTCTTGTGATAACTATCATACCCTATCATACATCGCTTTTAAATTTCTTTTTATTGTTGTTGTTGTTCATAGACGCAGCAGAACATATACTTATTCAACAATGTCTACAGTACAGTTCTGTGACACTGATTGAATTCTTGGAATTGTGCAACTTCTCACTCTCTTTTTTTGAGTTATTCTCCCCCCCATTAAAATAAACTCTCACTGGCCTCTAGGTTCTCTAATATTTCATGTTGCTATTATGACTTTGATCTCAAATAGATATTTCTTGGAAGAGCATAATACTCAAGGCAGACTTTTTTTTTAACTTCTTGTTATTTGTTATGTGCCATCGAGTCACCTGCACCCCACAGCCATCCTACATACAGCAGCTCCGAACTCTACCCTGTCCTGAGCCAGTCTCACTGATTCCAACACACCAACCTGCATTGCCCCAACCACTGTATCAATCCATCTCATCCAGGGTCTTCCTCTCCTGCACTTAAATTATTGTTTTAAGAAGACTTGAGGGATATTTTGGCTTATAAATGTAAAGATTCTCTATCTCAAGGCAATAGTTTTAGTTCATCTACCTTCTATGGCTCTAAAAAGCCTAAAGCCAATAAGAATTTGAAGTTCAGTTCTGTACTTTCCCCCTTTTGATCAGGATTCTTCTAGAGAATCTTTGATCAAAACATCCAGTAATGATAGCCAGGCATCATCTAGTTCTTCGAGTCTCTTTGCAAAGGAGGAAGTTGTACATGGGACAATTAGTGATACATTCCCAAGTCTTTTCCTTGTCCTGGCTCTCCTCCTGCTATTGCTCCAAGTATATAGAGACCAATTGTACCTTGAATGGTCGAATTTCCTTTCTCTTCTGAACTCTGTGCTCACTTGCTCCTATCATCCATCCTCCAGGTCCCTGCTATCTCTTTGGCTTATGAGACAGCTGAAAGCGACATCATGAAGAGGGCTCCACGAAATCCAAAAACCGATAATCTGGTGAACCGCCGTCTCATCAGCATGGCCTATGGACAGATTGGTGCGGCCTGAGGGATGATGGGTGGTAGGATCAGGGACGCTGGCTGAGGCAGTGGCTGCCGCTGCTTGGTATTTGAGCCATCTCAGTTTAGAAGACAGAGAGATAGTTTCTTCATTAACAACAAGCTATGTTAGCTCCTGGGGAAACAAAGAACCATTGATCTTGGCTCTGCCCTGGACTTATAGTCCAGTCAGAAAGAAGCAAACACGCATAAAATGATAGCATCCTTCTGACTACCAAATAGCAAGTGTAGAGAATGCATGGTGCAGGGGGACAAAGTGAGCAGACTCAGCAACTGTTAGGATGGTCAGAGAGACCTTATGGAAGAGGCAAGGCGTAAACTGGACATTGGAGAATAAGGTGGAGACTAGGTGGTGTGTGAGCAGATGTGGGCGACTCGGGGAAGCAGAGGCTCCACACGGCATGGTGGGAGCAGAGTGAGGAGCCAGTTTGACAGCACTGTTAATGCTTCCAAAGCAGTCACAGAAATTAGGCTGGAAACACAGGAGTATTCGTATTGGACCTAATCTTAAAAGCTATTTGAGAGTCATTAGAAGTCTTTGTTTTTTTTATTTCTGATTCCGTGGGGTGCAGTGCAGTAAGGATGAGGAAGGGAGAGATGGACAGGATAGAGAAGGGATGAGAGAGATCATCCCAACAACTGGGGAAGAAATGCACAGGAAAAGCAAAAGTGTAGAAGTCAGACTTGTGTTTGAATCCCAGCTTCATGGCTCACTAGCTATCGGACCCAAGGCCATGTTAGACAATACCTGACCCTTTTTGTCATTCAGTGTACCCTGTTACACAATGTAGATAATAGTTGGGAACGGTGAGGATCAGTGTCCACAGGCAGCTGGGTAATGCACAGCACCATAGTTGTTGCCCTGACTCATAGCAACACTGGGAACAACAGATCTGAACCTAGCCTTGTCCTGTGCTGGCCCCACCATCTCTGAAACACTCGAGCCCCTTGTCACAGCCACCATGTCAATCTTTTTGATAGTTAGTCAGCAATCCTCTACTGTCATGGTTCAGAGCCCTTGTTCATAGGGTCTCTATGAGTTGTAGTCGACTCAACTACACACAGCAACACATTGTCATTGGTTCAAACATAAGGGCAGAGGTTTGGACTAAGGGTGAGAGGCACATGGAAGACCTGAGCAGAGGAGAATATCTGATGAGAATCTGAATGACAGAAAATACGGGAGTCGTCACTCACTGGGCAGAGGGGATAGTCCTTTTCCATTTTTAAGATTATATGATTCAAAGATTATTTGGAGTTAGCAATTAGAAACAAAAGTCAGGCCTGGGATGGAAGGCACATAGAGATAATGAGTCAGATCTTTGATGGCACAATTCATCAGCATTGACTTAGGAGACACAGGCCAACTCGAGTGGAAGTAAATGCAAGTCCTCACCCTCCCTGCCTGTGGGATCCTGTTCAGAACCAGCTTCCCCTTCCCCCGTCTCTCACAGGGATGATTCAAGCTCTGGCTGGATTCTTCACCTACTTCGTGATCTTGGCAGAGAATGGGTTTAGGCCTTTGGATCTGTTGGGCATCCGCCTCAACTGGGAGGATCAATACCTGAATGACCTTGAGGACAGCTACGGACAGCAGTGGGTGAGTACAAGGGGCAGGGTCAATAAGGAGGAAGTGACAGGGAAGAGTGAGGTGAGCGAATTGTTCAAGTGGAAGAAAGGAATGGGTCAAATGAAATTGAAATCTCATCTATAAATAGCACTTAACATTTGGCCTCTAATCATATCTTCCCACTCCTTGAGATCTGAATGAAGGCTTTCTATTACTTGAAGTTTTCTGGAATGATTTCTAGTCTCCTGGGTTTGACCATGGATTGCCCCTGTAATGAATGCTGGACAAGCCCTCCTCTGCATGTGCTCTATGCGTGCTTCACTGGGTTTTAAAGGCTGCGGCCTTTTGTAAGCTGACTGCCAGGCCTTTCTCCCAAGGTTCTCTGGGTGAATTTCGACCACCAGTGTTAAGCTTAGTTAGCCAAGTTGTTAACCAATGTGCCACCCTATTTCCTTTGTGAATCCTTCATCAGCATTCAAAACCTTTGAAAACCTAGATGTCTTTCTGAAGGTGTCTTTGCTGACATCCAAGATGAAAGAGGCCCAATGTAGAGCCCATTGGTCTGTTCAGGAATCTTAGTAAATTGTTTTTAATATTTGTGAACACTCCTGTCCCAATTTCTTAAAACAGTAGAAAATATGGTGCAACCACTGTGGAAGGTGGTATGGCGCTTTCTCAAGAAGTTGCAAATAGAGATACCATTTGACCCAGCAATTCCACCACTGGGAATATACCCCAAAGAGACCATAACTGACATCCAAGCAGATATATGCACACCCATGCTTATCGCGGCTTTGTTCACGATAACAAGGAGTTGGAAACAACCTAAGTGCCCATCAACAAACAAATGGATAGAGAAACTGTAGTATACTCACACAATGGAATACTACGCTGCACTGAAAAACAAAGAACTTATGCAATATTATTCAAAATGTGTAATTCTGGAGGACATTATGCTGAGTGAAGTATCTCAGTCACAAAAAGACAAATACTGCATGGTGACACTGTAAAACAGGACTGACATCGGGGTTGGGAGGAGACTGAGAAAGATGGGTTCAATAATGTATACTGCATTGAAAAAGATGAGGGAGGAAACTGTTTAAAAGGGATATGTGATTAAGTATTTTTGTCATGACAGGAGTCCAGAGCAAAGGCTGCATAGTGGAGTGGACCTGGAGGAGGGTTTATAATACAATGAAAGAATTTTTCTTTTACTTTTCTAAGAGGGTAGTGTACTGGGGGGGGGGGTTGGGGGGGAGAAAAGTGCAACAATGAATGATTGGGAATCCAAACTCTCTGTAAATTTTCACTGAAATTAATAATAAATTTTAAAAAAACAGCAGGAAGTGATGTGTGCCACACATTATTCTTAGAATTTCAGGATCATAGAGGACACATAGTCCATTACCACCATTCTATAAAGGAGGACACCAAGCCCAGCAAAAGTTAAAGATTTGTTCAAAGTCCCACACTGAATCTCTCAAAGAGCAGGACTAGGATTCAGTACTTGACCAGAACTTTTCCACTTCACTGTGATGCCTCCAAACCAGGCTAATTGTGGATTTCATACAGTTCAGTGGGATCTGGGGTGTGGGGATGAGGTCACAAAGCACATTCTTACCTTGAGGAACGGAGTCCCCATGTCGGAGTAGCTCTTCTAGGGTAAACAGCATAGGAAAGCACTGAAGGGAAAGAGGAGACAGTGGGGTTGGTTCAGGTGAGCCCTTTTGAGGTCCTCCTGCAAGAAAATGGGCAGTTTCTGGACCACAAGGACATCAAAATTAAGGTCCTTGTAAGTGTAGGGTTTTTATCTATGGTGGCCTGGTGGAAAAGGGCTGCACTGTCAACTCAAAGGCATGCAGTTCAAATCAACCAGTTGCTCTGAGGGACAAGTTTACAGCCTCTGAAAACCACTATAGGAGGGTCAGCTATGAGTCATTTCCAGCTTGATCATAAACAACGGCAACAGTAGATGTTGGCTTGTTTCAGGTAAATAGGAACTAAGGAGCTAAGTATCTTCTAATCTGGGGTTATTCTTTTTGTTGTTGTTGTTATGTGCTGTCGAGTCGCTTGAGACTCATAGTGACCCTATGTATAACAGCCCTAAACCCTGCTCTATCCTGTGCCAATCGCATTGCCTCTGACACTCCCATCCCGATTACCCCAGTCACTGAATCAATCCACCTCATAGAGGGCCTTCCCCTCCTGCGTTGTCCCTCCACCCTCCCAAGCATGATGTCCTTCTCCAAGGACCGGTCCCTCCATACAACATGTTCAAAGCAAGTCAGACGAAGCCCCAGAATCCTTGCCTCCAAGGAGCAGCCTGGTTTAACCCTCTCCAGAATGAATCTTTCTTTTCTTGGCAGTTCATGGTACATTCAATACTCTTCTCCAGCCCCACAACTCAAAGGCATCAATTCTCCTTCTATCCTTCCTAGTCATTGTCCAACTCTCTGACGCATGACAAGTGATTGCAAAGACCATGGCCTGTACCAGACGCACTTTAGTCTCCAGAGTGACTCCATTGCTCTTCAGGACTTTGGAGAGGTCCCTAACAGCGGACTTTCCCATCGCAATGCGTTTTTTGATTTCCTGGCTACTGGTGCCGAGTGTTGACCATGGAGCCAAGCCGACTAAAGTTGTTAACAGTCTCGATCTCTTCACCATCCATCCTGATGCTCCCAATTGGTCCAGTGGTGAGCATCTTTGTCTTCTTGACATTGAGCCTCAATCCATACTGAAGGCTGCAGTTCTTGACCCTCTGCAGCAAGCATTTCAGGTCCTCCTCAGTTTCAGCAAGCAGGGTTATGTCATCTGCATAACGCAGATTGTTAATAGATTTCCCACCAATCCTGATGCCACTCTTCTCCTCATAGAGCCCAACCTCTCGGATAAATTGCTCTGCATACAGGTTGAAAAGGTATGGAGATAGGACACATCCCTGACATACACCTTTCCCAATTTTGAACCATGCAGTGTTTTCCTGCTCTGTTCTGACGACTGCCTCTTGGTCCAAGTATAGGTTTCACATTAGCTAGATCAAGTGTTCTGGGATTCCCATTCTTCTCAGAGTCAGCCACAGTTTTTTATGATCCACACAGTCAAACGTCTTTGCATAATCAATGAGACACAGATAGACATTCTTCTGGTATTCCCTGCTTTGAGCTAAGATCCATTTAACATCAGCTACAATATCCCTAGTACCACGACCCCTTCTAAACCCAGTCTGGACTTCTGGTAGTTCTCTGCTGATGTGCTGTTCCAGTCATTTTTGGATAATCTTCAGTAGAATCTTGCTTGCATGTGAAATCAATTATATTGTTCTATAGTTTCCACACTGTTGAGTCACCCTTCTTTGGAATGGGAACAAATATAGATCTCTTCCAGTCAGTTGGCTAAGTGGTTGTTCTCCAGATTTCTTGACACAACTTGGTGAGCACATCCAGGGCAGCATCTGTAAGCTGAAATACTTCAATTGGTATACCATCTATTCCTGAGGCCTTATTTTTTGCTATTTCTTTCAAAGCGGTTTGACCTTCTTCCTTCATCACCATAGGCTCTTGCTCATATGTTGTTTCATGAAATTCTTCTGTGTCTGCCAGTTCCTTTGACACAGTGACTCAGTATCTTCTTCCCATCTTCTTTTAATACTTCCTGGATCATTTAACATTCTGCCTAAAGCATCCTTGATTATAGCAGCTCGAGGTTTGAATTTGTTCTTCAGTTCCTTGAGCTTAAGAAATGCTGAGCGAGTTCGGCCCTTTTGATTTTCCAACTCCAGCTCCTTGCACATTTCATTGTAATATTTTGCTTTGTCATCCCATGCTGCCTTTCGGAATCTTCTATTCAGCTCTTTAGTATCTTGAATTCTTCCTTGTGCTTTGGCTTCTCTGCACTCCTTCCGACATCCATGTTGGTCTTTTTTTCCTCTTCTGTCTTTGTAATGACCATTTGCACTCTTTCTGGATGATAACACTTGACATCCTCCCACAACTCATCTGGTCTTCGCTCATTAGTGTTCAAGGCCTCAAACCTGTTTCTGAGACAGTTCTGAAATTCAGGTGGGATGAACTCAAAGTCATATTTTGGTTCCTGTGGATTCAGTTTAATTTTCCTCAGCTTCTGCTTGAACTTGCATATGAGCAGTTGGTGGTCTGTTCCACAATCAGCTCCTGGCCTAGTTTTCACAGCTGATATTGAGATTCTCCAGCGATTCTTTCCACAGATGTAATCGATCTGATTCCTATGCATACCATCAGGTGAAATGCATGTGTATAACCTGCGTTTGTTTCTTATAAAACATATTTGCAATGAATAAGTCATTTATTGTGCAAAATTCAATCATTCTATCTCCAGCTTCATTTCTGTCACCAAGTCCATGTTTTCCAACTACTGATTCTTCTTCTCTATTCCCAACTTTTGCATTCCAGTCACCCATTATTATTAATGCATCTTGATTGCATGTTTGATCGATCTCCGACTGTAAAAGTTGGTAGAAACCATCTATTTCCTCTTCTTTGGCTCTGGTTGTTGGTGCATATATCTGAATGATAGTGGTATTCACAGGACTTCCTTGTAAGAGCACGGATAATATCCTGTCACTCACAATGTTGTATTTCAAGATGGATCTAGAAATTACCTTATTAACTATAAAAGCAACCCCATTTTTTCTTGGCCTTTTCATCTCCAGAGTAATATATCATATGATCATCTGACTCAAAATGCCCCATGCTGGTCCATTTCGTCTCTCCAATGCCTAGTATGTCAATATTTATGCATTCCATTTCTTCCTTAACTTATCTAATTTTCCTACATTCATGGTTCTCACAGTCCGTGTTCCAATCACTAGTGTTTCATTACAACTGTTCCTCTTCCTTAGTATTTCCGTATTTAATTTTATTTTTATTTTTTTAATTAATTTTCATGAACGTTTACAGAGATTTTAGGTTTCCATACATTCATTCTTAAGAACAACTGAATGTATAAATTTGACTTTTTGGTCATCATTGTTGTTTGTTACTTCCTGTCAA